AATATCACTATTGGGGGTAATAGGAAACAATGGCACCCTTTTTCTTTGTACATTATCTTGGGGGGCTCATTTTAAAATTATTCTTTAGAACACGTTTTATTTTTTTTTGTCGTGACGCAAGTTAGTTTCCTTTTTGAAGTTTAGATTTTTTTCCTCATTTTATGAAACGGGGTTTTTTTATTTTTTATTTCTTTTATGCATGATTGAAAATATTTGTCCTGTATGAAAAGCAAATGTTATTTTCTTGGCAAATTGTTTAATTCTAAGTATCGTCTAAAATAGTTATTCAAAACTTAAGGTATGTTAAGTGGTAACTTAACATGTGAGAGCAAAACCTTACATTAGGTTTATCATTCAATGGTGAATTAAATCTTCTGTTGTTGTTTTTTTATGCACGTTGATTTCGGGTGCGCATTTTTTAAAAAAGTATGGGTTAATAGCTTTCTTAAAACATGTCGCAGATGAATATTGAAAATAATTCGATTTCAAATAATTTTCCCTGACTGTTATCTGGGCCTTTCCAAAACAAATTTCTAGTATATTCTTAATTCACCCAAGCAAAATATATATGACGTATGATGAGAAAAAATTTTTTGGAAAATTCACTTTTTCCATAGAAAAATTTGTTGCAGTGTCACTCATTTCCTAATGCATGCGTATGTCAATAGAATAAAAGTAGCTTTCAGAAAGTAATGGATGTTGACGAATCAAGAGTGTACGAAGTGATAATTTCCGTATTTGTTGTCATAAAATAAATTGCAATCAGTTGATTGCACGAGTGTTATTATTTCTTTAAAAATGCAATAACAACGCATTTGTGTTAAAAGAGAAAATTGAACCAATGCATTTTATTTATGATTTAAGAAATTATAGTTTTGAAATAATACGTCATGTTATTTATTGTTAGATTTTGTTTGATCTTATAAACTTTGTTTAAATCATATATGTAAATAACTTAATATGTTCTCTTCTGTTCTGAAAACAGGCATAAGTTTATCAGTACTTGGAAACTCAGTCAACTTTATTCAATATGACTATACCAATGCCTCAGCTGCATTAGGACAATTGTGATAATTTTCTTTTTTGTAGTAGTTTAATAAATGTAAATTATACATTCTATTGATTTAGTTTAGTTGTGTCTTATGTGATATATTTATTTTTCTATATATATATAAACTGCTCGTATATATTATTTATCCATTTCGATCATACAATTACACTATAAAACTTCTTTGATACTTGGTTAGTTTATCAGTAAATCAAAATGAATTATATCTTATAGATATAAAATTTACCAACAACAACGATGATAAGTGATATATTCCTTCAAATGATCAGCAGAGCAATGTTTTCGTTGGGGTTTTTTTGTAGTTGTTTTTGTAGTTTTTTGTGTGTGTTTGTGCCGTGGCGTAAGTTGATTAGTGGTTGTTTCATCAATGTTTCTCGTTATTCTCGAAGAAGTTTTTAACTGTAAACTCACGCTATGACTCATTGATCCCAAGACAGGTGTATCTTTTTACAAACATCCGTTTCAATATTTATATTAGCATGAAATTCCCACATTAGATAGGCATTGGGAAATATTTGATTCAATATCAATTTTTATAAAATGTAAATGTGAATATTGTAATTTGTAAAACAATTTGATGCGTGATTATACACAATATTGATTCCGTTATCTATGTTTGTTTTGTAAATGGTCGAGATAAACCATTTACATGACACTGAGAATACCTGAGTTTCCATGAAAAATGTTCCAAATTACGTCTTCCTGTAGTTTGTTAATTTCAAATCAAAACACTTACAACACAAAATGATCAATGCAATGGTTAAATAATATTTTATTAATATGATCTAAAATTAATTTGGTCTAGATTTATTTTGCTTTTATTTTGTTCTCAAATTACGAAACAAATTTATTAAAATAATTTCGAAAGACCTGACTGAAATAATGTACGGAAGGGCACCTGAGGTCTTTCTCAGCCAGTAAAGCTGGAACTCGCCATATGACATATACTGTGTCGGTGTAACTCCAATCAAACAAACAAACAAACTGCCAAAAGGTCATCAATGAATTTTAAAACAACTGAAGGTCAAGTAGTTATATTTATAAATGGTTTATGAAAAACATAGATAGTTTATCGCCATGTCGTTACAGCTTCCGGTAATTTTATAATTTTAATTTAATAGAATGTTTTATGGGGTTTTTATTCTAAAATGTTGGCAGATAAGTAACTCTCTTTTACATTCTTTTGACTTCATTAGCTTTACATCGTTTTTGCACAATGCTTTTTCTGTAACTCTTATCATAGTTTTAGTATATTTCATGTCACTAGAGCAGCTGTTGATCTAAGCACGTCGATATAATACTTTACTTGTGTTTACAATTATTGGTCTTATATGACATCTGATGAAAGACTGAATTCACGGAAAATATTTTATATAACATTTTAGATAGGCATTGACCACGTGACCTAAGCACGGTGATACATTCACACATTTAAATAATGTAAACTAGATACTCCGCTAATGTACAGTATTTCATGTTGCTTATTGATGGAAATCGATTTCCCCTCCCATTTTTTACGTTTCATGATTTTCAGACTGTTTGTCACTTAGCAATGGAGTTGTCGACACTCTAATATTTTCACTTTCATAATAATTATTTCATTCAAATATTTTCCATGTAAATACATCTTAGAAAATTAACAGTTTTATCATATAATCTATAAATAGCTACAACAGAATGTTTTTATTCATCATATAAATGCTTATGCTAAATCACTTTGAACTGTTTTTTAAGCAATACTAAAAGAATATCTATTCTTTTTATCAATATTTGAATTACTTTGAAAATATCACCATTATAGACCATATCTTTTTATCAAACGTTAGTCGTGCTCTTTTAGCAAATTAATGTATGACTTTATTTTAATTAAGACAGTGTAGACATTTAATACCATTATCTAGATACGTAAAGGACACAACTAATTATGGCTTAATTGATGAGACAAAGTACAGACTTCGATTTCACTCATGCAGAAACAAGAGATAGATGAGATGGTTGTTTATGTTATGTTACAAGGTTGGTGTAGTCAAGATAGTTTTGTTTGTTTGTTTTTTTGTAGTTTTTTTTTATTATTTATTTATTTATTTATTTTATTATGTAATTTCTTATTATTGTTATTCATTATTTCTTTAGGGTTTTCTTTTTGCTAAGCAGTAGGGTTATTTAACTTTACTTTTGCACATGAACCAGTTATATGAATGCCGAATCCTAGAAAATGTTACTAAGGGTTACTGTAAAAAAAACCTGAATCCTGAATTATGTTTCTTCCTGATTAAGACGTCATCTCTTAAAGCCTGTAGACTAGAGATTATAAATAATAACACACCAGCCGTTTGTGGACCAACGGTCGCTCTAGTTTAATGTGAACATCATTTAATTATGTTTATTCTATTTACGATATTTGTTTATCCTTCCTTATGTAAACAATTAGCATTCAATAAACACAGTACCATGTATTCTATGCTTATGTCATATCCCTTGGAAAATATGTTATTTACGTCACTTGAGTGTTATTTTCTAGACTTGGCAAGGTTGTATTTTCAACAACTGTCATTTGATAAGCGTGAATAAGTGAACACCATAACTGTTATTAAACAACTAATTCCTATTTGCACCTTTGCACGTATTGAATATGTTACTCGAATGCTTGAAAGATAAGGTAATTACTTGTATATCTGATTTGTAACCATATACTTGTTGTTAAAACATAACAAAACAGGATTTTCATGGCAATACAATGAAAGAGTTGACAGTGTTTCTTGTCTAAGTTAATACAATAAAATGATGCATACATGTAACACGACAACAACCATACGGTGATTTGTATAAATTTACTTTTTTTGTCATCAGATGTAATACATTTTGAATTCAGTTTGGTTAACATATTTATGTCAAAATTACTTTATTAATAATATATGTACGCTCCAACGGTACTTACATTCCGCATGATAGCTCTGTATTACTATCAACCAGATTTGAAAAGGGGCGAATCATTTCATAACAACTGTCCCATAGGCTGCTATTTTTAACTTTATATGTCATGGTTAATTGTAAACCACTATTTTATAAAACTACGCTCTATCGATTTAATTAGCGCATTGGCGTCAACGCGATTTAATGAAAAATAAACGTTACAAAGTAACATTTTTTTCTGTCGTGTTATATTATAAAGTTTAGATAAAGGAATCTCAATAACTATTTCGTATGTGATAATAAAATTTATATAGAATAAAAATAAATATGTCGTTTCAGCTGAACTGCAAATTTCCAAATACCTAAACAGCATCACAAAGTTGAAATATATTCATTTTTTTCTAATTGTATAAAGAAAAATGATAATAAAAGGTGACATATTTTAGAAAGAGTAAACGGTAAACGTAATTGATAAAATTTATGTGGCTAAAATGTGTCGGGGGCTGCGTCTTATGAACGTCGCCTTTGTCTTGTTAATCTTTGATCTCGCCTTTTAACCTTATAAAGTAGCGTTTAGATTATGAGCAACGTACTGCTAAACAAATCAACGGTTTTGTTTAATGAACTGCCTTGATGTTACTTAACATAAATTAAATGTTGACATAAGTTAAATGAAATCTACCTATTTGTTTTCATAACTCTTTTACTCTATTCCAATGTTTGATTTCGATGTAACTATTTTACCGTTAGAAAATGAAACGTTAAAAATGTGTTTAACTTATCGAACCCAACCAATAATTAATGTATTGATAGGGTACAGAAATAAACTTAATTGTACGCAAAACTATTAATTTTTAATTAATTTTATAGTTCCATACATAAGGTGTCGTGCCATATGGTCTAATAAAACTTTCCCTGTTCCTGTAGAAGTGGAAAATAACCAATACCACAAAAGGAACCACAATGCATTAGTGTATCGGAAAGTTGGTGAGAGAATGTTTCACAAGTTTCAGTTGCTATCGGAAATCTGTACAAAGAAGAGTAGGCAATTTATTGTCATCTGTTGATATTTTACTTGTTTTTAGATATACTTGTTGTGGTCGCCATCATCATTTCTCTTTGTTCTGAAATTAAGCAAATTGCTAGGATAAAGTCACTCGTGAAAATATTGGATAAAAATATAAAACAACTATTTAAATGAAATGTCTCAACGTAATGTTCGTTAGGGTTTCGCTGATATAAAACGCAAAAACTGTGGAAGTATATTTAACGGAATTACCCATTTTCTTATTGGCATTGTTAAGAAAACAATTTTAATTAACGTGGATATTAGCCTGTATGCAGCTGTCTGTCAAGCTATCTACGACAACTTCTACAAAAGAATAAAATGGATAGAATATCCGTGAAAAGATTTTCGTTTCGTAGGAAAGGAAGTCACAAGAAGGACACGCATAAAGAGGATAATCAAGAAAATAACATTTCTGAAGTTGAACAACCAAAACTTAAATACATAAGGTAAGAATTCGTCTAAAATCAATTCATATAATTAATAAAAAATAAATTAATCAATTTTTACAAATGATACTCTGCGATCTTTTATCTCACTTAGTTTCGTTTGAATCTTTATTATCTTTATTAATTCGTAACAAATTGCAATCTTTATGTGGAGATTTTTTTTTGCTAAAGAAAACCCCCGGAAATTTAGCAAAAACATTTATAACTATTTTTTTACGATCGTCAGCTTTGTTTAACATTTTTGCTATTGTTCCGTGATGGTATCAATAATTTCAATAAAAATGATTGTGTATCATTATTTAATGCAATATTACTTCAAAGTAAATGTAACAGCAATAGCTTAATTCGATTAAGACCGATTTGGATTTATTTACTACATTGAACATCTTCACTCTGCAGTTACTGTGTGTGCTTTACTTTATTTTTTATTTATAACATTAAAATGAGAAATAGGCAGTTCTGGAAGTTAGACAATATATGTATATGCCAATCAAGCAAGGAAAGTTTATCGTGTAAAATTTAAACCATGTTGAGGATTAGCTCTTATAAAAAATAAACGTTTTAGTATAGTAATTTTCTTATTTCTGTATCAGCCAGAAAGAGGCTGGGGATATAAAACAAGAATTGATCACGGAATATGCCTTTAGTGATGAACAACTTTTGGAACTTGGCGGATATAGCAGTGCTGTTGCTATAGCTGATGTGAGTATCAAAACGAACCAAACAAATCACTTTAATTTTATGCTTCTAGTAATAAAATGATTGATTTTTTATATTTCTTGTATAAACATATTTTATGAAATCAATGGTAAAACTTTCGATGTATGATTAAAATCAAATTTCTGATATCTTGACTTAATGATTATCTAGTAACAGAATAAAGAATTTAATATATAATCTTAGACTGACTAACATACTTACCTAAGCTTGCCTACCTTCCTACTCACCGACCAAAACATATTTTATGCTCTTAATATCCCCATTGAACCGTCCAAAGTTATAATTGTAAAAAAAAACGTACAGTTCACTAGATAAATAATGTAATGAAATGTTTAATTATATCATTTAAACACACTGATCGTATTGCTATTAGTAGAAAAAGCCGTTCCTTTATTGCAGAATATTAGTTTTACATAGACTATGACATGTACTTTTGAATGACTAGATACATAATCCTTATAATAATATTACAACACACAGCTTGTGTCATTTTGTGCATGTTGAATAGTTGAGGTAATACAACTAATTATATGAGTAGATACAGCCACTAAAAGAACAATTGGCATTACATAACAGTGTTTTATTTTCTTATTCAAATTAGGTACAGTGTTTTATAAAACAACTGAAGTAAGCGAAATTATGACATTCTTGTAATAATCCGTATTTCTATTCATTTCACAATAAATGTTTGTTTTCAAGTGTTACCCGGTAGAAAAGATGACAAAAGATAACCACGCTGTCCTTGTCTGTTGTGGACCTGGAGATAATGGAGGAACTGGCCTTGTATGTGCCAGACACCTGAAAATGTTTGTACGTAATTGTTTAAACATTAAAATGAAAGATAATAAGATGTAAAACAGATGTTAGAGTTTATCATATTTAGGTAATAATTACAATAATTATAGTTATATGACTGCCAGTTTCCCAGTTTCTGGTCAATAGAAATGGATGTACACCTCTGTCAATTGCCCAAAAACGCACTACGTCAGAACGTCATCAAGAGTCGCGCCAGATATAACCGTGTATCGATATCTTATGGATTAATTGTATAAAGAGAACTGGCAGAACAGTCTAAATAGAGAAAATAAGAATCCCAATAGAATGTCTAAAACGGCAAAATTGAAAATGTTAATTTAGCCTGTTCATGGACGGTACTGTTGAACTATCGTCCACACCCCCTAGCACCGGCTTAAGCAGAATTCTACATTTAAACATGATATAGTAAAATTTTGAATTTAGAAACATAATCAGATGTGTACATAAAGTAACAAAGCATCGTGTGGTATTCAGACAGTGTTTGTCTAAAATATAGAGACAATTTTGCACGCTAAGTCCGTTTATTAAAGGATTTTTGCGTAAAAAAGGAAATCGGACAACTATACCACATGAACAATTTAATTTGATCATATAATAAACCAATCTTGAAGGGTTCGTTTAATATCCAAGAATTCAAAGTATATCGATATTCACCTCATCATTATACATTTATTTGTTGACATGATCCTTGATGAATAATATGTTTAATCTAAAATTATATAGACATATAATTATCACGAAATATTGAAAACTTAAAAAAACACATTTTGTGCTTATGAAGATAGCAAAGTCCCTGCTGCATTATAGATTTCAACGACTGCCATGTTCAAATATCGTTTACTGCTTTTGCCCACAAAATGTTTAGTTATTGCACTAAATAAGAATAAATAGATAATGAAGTAAAAGAAATATATTTTTTCTAGACAAATTTTACATTTTCACCAATGAGTTAAATATCTTGGTATAATATCAGATATTGAAATGTTAAGGAAAATGTTAAACTGTTTTTTGTTGTTTTTTTTCTGTTTTTTTTTTTTTTTTTTTCTTTCTTTTTTTTTCCTTTTTTTGTGTGTTTTTTTCTTACCACTTACCCTTCAACGCCTTGGCTTTCAACCCCACAGGGATTTTGGATTCTCCGATGTAAAACAGCTATCCATGGAGCTTACGGAACGTCGATAGTTCTTCTCAGGCGCCTTACATAATAATGTAAAGATAAAAAGTCGCCATATGATCTATACTGTGAAGACGTAAAACCGAACCCTTAAAAAGTATTTTTGTTATTTTTGTGATTCATTTCAGGGATATAAGCCAACAATTTTTTATCCAAAGGGACCTAACAAGCCTTTATTCAACAGCCTCTATAAACAATGCGAAGGCTTAGATATGCCCTTACTATCATTTTTCCCGTCGGAAGCACATCTAATCACAGATTCGTATAACTTCGTTGTGGATGCATTATTTGGCTTCAACTTTAATGGTAAGCTTCTTTCATTGATAATCTTACAAACTACACTGGCTTGCTTCCTTACAAATAGTAAATGCAAATGGATTGTTTTGTTAAAAATGTGTTCGACTTACTATCTATTCCTTTTAAGTGCAAGATTGTTCAGTCATTGTGTATAATAGACTAAAAGTATTATAGAATTGACATCAAATTTTGTAAATATTGTTAAAGGGCCTCAATTGAGGTGTTAATCCTAAAAACATAAAATTTGAAATTTTACATAGATCAGCTGCGGCACTCAAAACAGCAAAAATACAAAAGATAATTAAAAAACATACTTAAATATAAACTGAAAATCGTATTTTATGCAATTCTTTTCCCAATTTGAGTGCAACGCTTTTCAGTAATGAATCATTTTTCACACATAGAACAATTATTATTGACAGATATATCTGATCTGAAATTTGTAACAAGCTGTTTGTCTAAACCTTCATCAAAATGAATATTAATCTCGAAAAATAATTTCTGTCCCATCATGTTAAGAAACCTCCGTGGAGTCGGTTTAAATGAAACCCTTTAATTGTTGATAGTTTTATGTGTTTAAAAAACAATAATGTCATTAGCCTCCATTAGACTAAACTAAGATCAAAGCTGAATTTTCCAGAAAAAAAACAAAAAAACAAATATCATGTTGTCATTGCATTCAACGTGTTCCATAAAAAAGTGATAGTCAGAAAGTATTAAAGAGATACTTTGGTAATGAGACATTAAAATAGCTTAGAGAAAAAATGACAAGAAAGGTTATTCCATTTTTATTTCCAAAGGCTTTACTTTAGTCTTTCTCATTGATCCTGCTCCCTGGAAAGTTATACTATTTTACCTAAATTACAGGTCCAGTGAGACCCGAATTTGAATCTGTGATTGAAACACTGAAGAAAATTGAATCACCGATTTGCAGTATAGATGTTCCATCAGGTATGTAAGACTTGCATTGGCTATATTTTTGAGCTATTATCATTTTCATTCCTTGCAACTTCTCCTTTAAGATTGAAGTGATTAAAAAACATGCGGACATGAAAAAATAAACAAAAACACAGTAATATTCAGAGCTGTTGATTGCTGTATCCATACTAGTTTACGACAATATAAAAACAATCTTATGCCTTGTTGTTGATGATGTTGTTTTTGTTTCTCTTAATATTATTTTGTTCTTTCTATTTTCAGGCTGGGATATAGAGACGGGTGATGAAAATGGACTTAAACCAGATTTTCTTATTTCCCTTGCTGCTCCAAAATCTTGCACAAAACTTTTCAAAGGCAAACGACACTATCTTGGAGGACGCTTCATTCCCAAAACTCTTGAACAAAAATATGAGTTGAATTTACCTGTGTACCCAGGTAGTAATTGTATTATTGAGCTCAAAGTGGATAATGACAAAACTGAGACCAAAGAGAATAGTGATAACAAAAGTGAGCAGTAGGACATATTTTATATATTTTTTAAAGACTCAATTAACATTGAAACTGACTTTGATCTTTTTTGCATGTTTGTATATAATGGTAAACGAGCGTATATGTTATCAAATATTTCCTGTTGAATACAAAACCCTGAGGTCTTCATCCACCAGTAAAGCTGGAACGCTGCCATATGACCTAAAGATACCGTGTTGGGTGACTTAAAACCAAATCAATTAAACAAACAAAGAATACGAAACATTTAAAACAGTTAACATACAAAGTTGCATTTACCTGAAAAGATACTAACATTTAGTAATTTTATGCTTACCATCAACAATGAACCAAGAGTGTTCAGTCATACATGAAGTCGCCTTATGTAACAATTATTTTATGTGAAATATACGACAAATTCGTTTATCGTTGAAATATAATTATTATTAACCCTATCAACCAGTGATAGGGTCTGGTACTGCAATCACATGCAATGATTCATTTCTTTTTTCCCTATCAATTTTTTTAATTGATCATGAAGTTTAAACCGAACTGACATACATGTAGTTTTATTTTATTATTTCACATAAACTGTAAATATTCAATCAGTTAACTGAAGAAAAGAGTTATAATGTAACTCAAGAGAACAAAAAACATTTAAAAATTTAAGTTTAAAATGGAGTGCAATGAGAAGCTCTTTTATATTTCTTATTTCTGTATAATTATAACTTTAAAATCACAAAGTTTCATATATCTTTTTCACAAATCAAAATTATTGATGAAATCATATGTAATTTCTGATAGGCTAAATATATATGTTGAAATGGTGTTTTTTTGCAGTTATATATAAACTTTTACCGTAACTTTACATCAATTTTGAAAACCATTTATATAAGCATGTAAGTGGTATATGGTTAAATGTTTTTTGTTATTGTTGTTCTTTTTTATTTTGTTTAAAATGTCACCGAGACAAAATAAAAACTTTCAGGCACAATCGGGTACCAGCCTTTCTTTTCATAGGCCAGCTGGATAGAGTCTTTACATGATAAAATACAAACTCTAATTGTGAGGTTTGTTATATGACGGACTAGAAATATTTCTGTAAAGATTAAAGTAACATTTTATAATTATTTGTTTGCCAGACTTCAGATCATTCCCTCGTTATTTTTTTACAGAATAATACTTTTAAAAGTGAAAAAAGATGTGGCGTAGGAATCATAAAAGTGTGAATTTCACTTTATTCATTATCTTTTGCATTTCTTTCAGTTTTAAGCCTTATTGGTCTATGTGAGGAATTCAATATTTGCGTTAATTTGCTTTTTGACCTCTGAAGATCTCCTTACAATATGTACACGGTCAATGTATAGCATACCAATCCATAAAAAAGTGTGGAAATCAGCATCTCTTCTTTTCATAATGTTAACAATTAAAATGTTTGACTAACATAACACGTTTTATACTACGTAAGTTGATGTTTAATATTCTTGTCAAAATAACACTTAGTCTAATTGAATAAAGATCATATCTGAAATTGTAAGAGATAAATGTTATTAATTATAATAAAGATTTTATTTGGACCTACATAAGTCTGGCAAACTACTTTATATGTGTTATATATATGAAACAGTAAAATATAACTATAATAATAGACGCAACATAAAGTAATTATAACTGTCTATGATTTATTTATCCTTTTACAATCATTTGATTGAAGTTAAAAATGTTTGATCACCGTTCTTTTTGCTTGTCTAAATGTTATAAACATTGTTTAATCAGATGACCCAGAAAAATATAAATCTTACCAGGGAAATATCTCAATGTAGAAAATGACATTTTCTGTATTTATCAGAATCAGCTGACCCATTGCAAGAAACAGTACTTAATCATGAAGGAGGTTGTGAAAAATACAGAAAATAAATTATATATACGTGACAAATATTAATGATAAATCTTTTCTGAAACTTAATCTAATACTATTTTGTTTCCGTACAAATTTCGAAATAATTGTTCAGAAATAATATCAAATTTAAAGTTTAGAGCAAATTTCAAGAAGTTAGCAAATTACATTGTAACGTTTAAATGTCATTTGGACTTCAGAGCTTTGTGTCATTTACAACATATAACGGCATTCTTAAATCTTTCGTTTGAAAATAAAGAAATACTATGAACTCGAAATGCCAATAATAAATTGTGATAGCAATAATTAATAATTAAATTTACCCTCAGCAGTTATTTGATATAAATCAGTGAAGACGTTTAACCTTTTTAAATCGAACTTTATTATCATAGACGATATCTATATTCTTAATAAATGATGCACAATTCGTTATATGCCTAAATAAATACTTGCCCACCGTCGAGAATTATAAGAAGCTTACATGTTGAAAAATCTATAAAACTTCTTTATAATTTTAACAATCGTGCAATCAAAGCATGGTATAAAACATAAAAACAATATGACAGAGCGTTTGCCTGAAACATATGGCCCGAATGATTATATTATATAGCACATGAGAGAATTTGCAAGGCGCTAAAAAGCAACAAAATTTATGAATATTTCAAGAATCTTAAAATTCTTCCTCAGCGTGCAAGAATTTATATCATTCCTTCTCATCGTTTTTTTTTCAATATTAATTATTTTTATTTTGCAACATGACCGTAAAATTAAGTGTTACATCGCTTTTCACTCAAAAAGGGTTTAACATTGTGCAAAACTTCAATTTTAAGGTTAACTCTAAAAGTCTCTTTTTATTATCATCCGCGTATTTTTTTTCCATTTTCACATTTTCACATGCTCCATGCAAGAATAAATTACAAAATTAAATTTAAAGATGACACCATTATCACTAAAAATACCTTACGTGAGATATTTTGCTTAATAGTTTTAATCTCTTCTGAACACATTCGTCGTTTGTTTTTGAAGAGTTCAGTTCAGAAACTATTTTGTCTTGATGCATTTAAAACGGCATCTATACATTTTTTATCTGCTTGCGCATTACCTGCCTGTTATAAATAACGCTCCGGCCCGCCCCTGCTTCCCTGTAGAGGCACCAATAAGAAAAAATCGGTAATTCAATTATTAATAATTCAAGTACAAATCAATTTTACTGGGAATTTGTCATTCGTCGTTTATACTCGTTATATGATACATAAATATATCAAGCTGTAAAAGCATATCTATACATTATATCGTTTTCTTGTTTTCCTTTTATTGTGCTTTTCGGCAATTTGTAGCATACATAATTTATCATAACGGCGAATCGCATGACCATGAGGATGATAAAGGGCCATATCTGTTATCACCAAAACAAGACAGTTTAGCTGCCAAAAATACCAATAATGTGCGAACTAATGATTCTTTGTTCAATAATCTAATAGGCTCTACCTGGATTTAACCGATTCCAGTTCGGATTCCAGAGCTTTTTGCTGTGCATTCACCTACGTTTCCTTACAATATCAAAAGAAGCAAACAACATTTGTGTTTGTAGACTCCTATATGTCTGGTGGCGAGGCAACCCTCAGACATTTTGAAAATATGATTACGATAAACTGCATATGATAATTTCTTTATGCATTACCAAATAATCGGACAGATGTGAATACATGTTTTCAGTGATTGCTTTCCTTTAAATATGTTGTTCGCCAGCAAATCGAACACAGTACTAATAATCCTGGGACAAATTATGAAAATTGTTGTATAACCCAAAGCTGAATCTCCGTGACGCGCATATTGATTGTTATTATCATAACAGAAGTCAGGATAAAATTCATCAAGCAATAACCATTTTTATTCAAATATGTCAAAGCATTTATGTGAATGAATATTTAACGAACGAAAAATAATATCCCGTTTTCATTTGTACATAATTATACTTGTACTTAAAATCAAACAAACGCTATCTAGATATACTACTTCATGAAACAAGCGTAATATATGTTTATCGCTAACATGAAAATAAAAATAGCAACTGATAATAAAAATAATAGTTATAATACAAATAATAATTATTATATGTTATGATAATAGTAAGCATCGTGAGCAATTAAAGCCCGTGTGCTTTACGCACGCTAAATGTGTTTGCATTTTCAACACCGAGCGCCTCAAATTGTACCGCCATTCATGTGAATATGTGCGTGTTATGCAATGATCTGGCGTGAAACTTAGGGGTATGAGAGAGAAAAGCCGATTTACGTGGCAGGCACAATTAACATACAAAACAATGCATTATAATGCTATATTTTACAGGAGTTTTTTCATTTGAAACATGCATGCATGCTATAAAAGAATAAAGAATAATAAAGTAGCTTACTCCTTTACTTACTTTAAGCAAGTAAGATTTTAAGGGGGAAAAAATACATTAAATTTTCAAGTTTTCTGAAATCTTTGATTTTTTATGTGCTGCATTATGGGCTCCACTTGATCCTTTGATAATTTCAGCTGTAAATGATGTTTCATATATGGATAAATTGATGTTTTAAGACAATTTCAATGCTTTATATGTTCAGAGAAAGAAAAAAAATTGTTAATTTCATTATATACAATTTCTAGTAAATAAATCTAAATAACACCGGAGTTTAAGAAATTCATTTATTATATTTATTTATAGTTGCCACACAACTTTATTTTCTTTCAAGAAATTTTTTTTAAAAGAATATTCACTAACATAATATATCGCTTGAATGTAAGAACGCTCTTTGTTTATTTGTATATAGTGTCGTAAGAGCTTGACAAAAATAATGATTGTTGTGCAAAGAAATAGTAGATAGAGTGACAAAGCTGCCACCGGTTAGTTTATGTCGTCCTGCCAAGTGTAGCTGTATTCATATCTTCCATTTATATTTTTGAAAATGTTACTTGTTGCTTAAGCATAACTATAAAAAATGTCTACTCCTAGAACTATTCAATTATGTACTTGTTACAGAAATTCCATGTAGCTAGAAAACGTTCTTATTTTTACGCGTCCGTTTGTCCCCTGTGTTATCCCTATGTGGAAATTATTTCATTTTCAACGAATTTGCTATAATTAAGTCTTCTTTCTTAAAATCTCCATATTTCTGGAAAGGTCAATAGGAGATGACCTGAGAGCAGTCAGTTCATTTATAAAAGTGAAAAGCGCACATTTGGGTCTTATTTAGTAGTTTCAATTAAGAAAACATCTGCAGACTTATGTTTTACCAAACTGATAATCATGCAATCTTTACTTGCACTTAAAAAGCTGCAAAGTATCAGGAGGAAATCATAGAAACTGAGAACATAGTCTAATTTTGTTGGTTTTGAAATACATTATATAAATGCTTTAGGGTCGTCCGTAACGGAGTCATAAATATCGTTGACTTCATGTAACTTTCTTCTCATCGCTGAAGGTTCAAGCCGTGCTTACGGAACGTCGGTGGTTCAACTCAGGTGCCCGTTTGTGTCCGTAATAATGCTCAGAATGACACCTGGTGTTTTCCTCTTTCAGTTAAGCTGCGGATAGTCGCCATTTGGCCTATACTGTAAGAGTGCGACATAAAATCCAACTAAAATGCTGAAAGAAACCACACACACAACAATAACAGCTTGCAATTTTTATATTGAACTTATAAAAATAATTTTGCTCTAGTTATGTCATTTATTATATAAAAATTATTCAAATATTTCTGAGGATAACTATTTTTCATTTCTGTCATAAAGTTGATATTCCTCTTTTTGGCAAATCTTAATATGAACAAATGAAAGGTTTATTATTAATCAAGATTGTTAAAAATGTTTAATGATTGATGTATGTTGAAGCAAATCTAAATTTGTTTTCTACTCTATATTTTGTGTTGATTTTCATTGTTTTTTATTAGAACAGTGTCAATGTAATCAGTCATATTAGCAAACCAGCAGATGATTTGAATAATGAGAAAATAATTTCACTGTCATTCCATTTCAATTCCTCTTAGATGACCTGTCTGGTGTCAAATTACTGCTCCCCTCTGTGAATGCACTTACAATACATAGCATGACTGTATGGCTGCTCGGGAAAAAAACAATATTTAATTTTTATTAATTGCTTGACTACCTCATCGGCTAATGTAAGCTATAAGTAATTTTAAGTAGGTAATAGATTTTGTCGCGTTAAGGTATAGAAAAGCTTTTTTATGAATGCAGGAAGCTTTAAGAAGGTAATGAATATCGTCGTATTAAGTGTTACAAAATGGTTTTGTTGTTGATTTCTGTGAGGTTATCTCTTTCATCACATTTGTCATGGAATTAGTCATTTGTTATTTTAAAGAGGTTTTCTTGATCGGGTATTAAGTCAGAAAGTCAGAAACGACACAGTAAATACCATACAGCGAATTTGCAGCTTAACGGAAGGTAGAGGATCTTAAGTACTGTCTATTGTTTTAGTCACGTTGCTGGTACCAGAGTAGAACCATTGAATTCAAGAACCTAGCTCGGATTGCTTTTTCATATGAAAGTCCTTGTCGATTTTCGGTCCCGCTGCGGTGAGTGTCAAGTTATTTCATGTCAACGAACTTATTGATGCGTC